TAATTTTTATATTAATTATTATAATGTACTAACTGTACTAATTGTACTAATCATTGTACTAACACTGTACTTCCTAACCCTGTATATGAGTAGTAAATCTGATTTGGATAATTTTTTATATTATCATTAAAGTTATTTTTAATTAAAATACTAATAAAAGTAGAAAACTGTAGCTATTAAACAGAGTATAATTTCTTTTTATTGAATTTACTGGAAAAGAATTTTTTTATAATGTAGCAGATAAAGTTTTGAAATATTATTTTCACATTCAAAAGTTAAAATATTTCTTTAAATATCATTAGTATTATTAAGCATATTTTCATTTGTATTAAAAGTCTGATTTTTATCTAATAAGGTGGTAGTTATTAGTGAAATAGAAGTTTTTGTATTTTTTATTATTTTAAATAGTTAAGGATTGAAAAATAGATTTAGTATCTATAAGAATTAGTATTTATAAAATTTGAGAAGTCAAAGATACTAATTATTATTATTATTATTATTGCTATTATTACTATTCTATATTGTTTAATTTTTCTTTTTTTGTTATAGATGATGATGGCCTTTTATTTTTTAGTGAATTTGAATGGTTGCATTTATACAGAAAGTTGAAATAGTTGAAATATTTTAATTTTGAGAGAATCTAAAAGTCAAAATGGTCAAAATAATATCATATTACATTATTTTTTATATATAAAAAATTAAAAAAATCAAAAGATATATGATCTTAGTCAATATTGTTTTATTTTTCATTAAATAAATAACTACCATTCAATTTCTTGTGACTAGACAGATTCAATGAGTTAAATATTATTAATTTTAGGTTAGCTAATCTTGTGATAATTATAATCATATTTCTAAAATCCAGACTCTTTTTATTAAAGTAGAATTTATTAAATTATAATTTTTACTGATAATTCAATCATGATTATTTCAATATTGGCTAATTCAAAATCAATGATATTTAGCTTATTGGATCTGTTTAGTCATAAGGAATCAAATGGTATTTTTTAGTATTCAATTTTGATTTCATGTATAAATATAACATATGTGATGCAGATAATTGATGAATTTAACAAATTTAATATATTTAATATGATTAATTCATAGGTATAATTGATAAATTAGATATAGTTAATATATTAAATATATTAGTCATATATAATAATTTGTTTTATTTTTCTATGTAATTTATTTTATATAAATAAATAGCTTTTAAATCACGTATAAAAGTAGGATTTGACAAATTAGTTTTTAGTAGTTTTAATAAGTAATTGGCCTATTATATATTTATTTTTGTTTTTGTTTTTGTATTTTTATTTTATTATTTTTTTATTTTGCAAATAAACATATTTTGAATCCTAATTATTTGATAAACATTATATTGATATTAGTTAAACATTTACATAAATAATCACTTTGATGATTGGTTTAAGTAAAGTTTATAAATATTAAGGATTATTACTTAATTAAAAAAAATCAATACTCAAATATTATGTCTAAAAGTTATAGATAGTTTACAAGAATTACATGTTAACAATATATATAAAATAAAATTTAAAAAGTTTATTTACTTATATTATATTACTTATAGATTAATATTAGTATATAATTTACCAAAAAAATATATATATATAAGTATAATAAAAATAGTATAAAATATTAATTTATATCTTAATTATTTATTAGATTTAACTTTAGGATTTTTTAATATAATCTTTTTTGTTTATTAAATTTTGCAAATTTTTAATAATTTTTAATATAAATTCATAACATAAGTTAATATTCAATATTCAAATCATAAAACATTAATTTATTTCTTATTAATAAATTTGGTTACTGATCCGGAAATCCCTTGAAAAGGTCAGAAGGCGCAGCAGATATTTGATTTTGTGATATTATTTACTACAAGTGGCGTTTAAGGTGCATTATGTGATAAATAAACGCGAACAAAAAAATTGTGATTTATTTTATTTTTACTTATACTATATTTAGTAGCAATGACTGACCATCTTATTCAAGAAACTACCAATAAATTAAATATGGAAAATATACTCCGTTACATTTTATCTTTCGAATATGATCGTACGACATACAACCCTAATTTAAATCAAGCTCCATTATCTTATAAAATGTTTGTTTCATGAATTGATTTTTGAAAGATTTCTTTTTTTCTTTCCTTTTTTTTTTTATAAATTTATTTAGTAATTTATTATGATAACTTAACGTTTAATAATTTTTTTTTTTTTAAAAAAATAAAATTTACAGTTTTTAATTCATCGATTTATCCTTTTTTTCCCCCAACTAATAAATAAAAATGGGAAATTGCTGTTCTATTGACGATAATAACCATAGCAATCAGGTATGTGATAAGCATGATTTATAAAAAACATCACTGCAATTAACGTGATTAATTCATGTATAAATCCTTATTGTAATGTAAAATATTAATTAACTACTATTCTATTTTATCACATTTTTTTTCTTCCCTTCGTTTAGAATGTCAAAGGCGCTATATATCAGCAACCTCCCATATATTCACAACCACCTTATCCACAACCCATATATACACAACGACCCTTACCACCCTTACCAATATCTGCACAGGGTCCTACTTACAATTTTCAACACATACAACAAACTCCTATATACAACATTCCATCACCTAGAATAAACTCATATATAAATGATAATTCGCTTCAAGGTGATTTTGGTGGTTATTCTTCGCAAAGTCCCATTGGTATTTTTGGACAACCAAATGCTTATGACCCTCAAAAAGAAGCAGCAAATTATGATGCTAGTGATGCTGCCTCCATATCCTCAATTAATGCTGAAACCACAGTCGAAAGTCATTGTTTTAATTGTACTAGTAAAGTTGTGGATATTGATCTCGACGGATATCCCAGCGAATATTGTAGTGATCAATGTCGAAAAGATGCTTCCTATGCCGGTTTTGCCAACCCTGTTTGCATTCTTTGTAAAGAGTATCCTCAGGTTACCAACTCAAAATTTTGTGGCAAAAAACGCTGTAGAAATCTACCAAAATGTTATTTATGTAAAGTATGTAAAATGAAAAAAAAAATCGTATTTTACTTGGATTTGACATTTATACAATTATTTTTTTAACGATAGGTTAAAGATGTTCATAAAGGGTCATTATGGTGCTCGAAATCGTGTAGGGATAGAACACCTAATTGGCAAAGTTTAACTGTTGAAAGGGCCAATTATATGTGTTTGGTTTGTAATAGAGAGTTTGCGTTAAAAGGAAGAGATTTTTGTCGTGATGATTGTGAGCAGTGGGTCAAAACTAATGGTAAAATTTTCACATTTTCAGATCAATTGTTCCAATATGAAATATATCAATTAACGGATTATATTTTGTTTAGTGCCATGTCTACTTAAACTTCCGCAAAATGCAGAAAAATATAAGGATGTACTTAACCAATTTAAAATAGCATGGAAGCATCCACATAAACGTGTTCCACAAGTTCATTCGATATGGAAAATATATTGCAATAATATATTGAATAACAGATATAATGCTTATAAGGCGGAAGTTGAAAGCATACAACAATTAAAAGGTAAACCTTTTCCCAAAGGAGAAGGTCAGCGAACGATGAGTGTTGGAAATGAACAACGTAGATTCCATGGAACTAAAATGTTTGTACTTTTTTTATTTTTTATTTTTTTATTTTTAAAAAAAAATTATTAAATTAAAATAAAGTTATTAAATTGTTCTTTCCTTATTTGTAGGAAATGTCAAGTTGGATTAAAGGATAACAAAATTTGTATTGATAAACAATGTTCAGTATGCGCCATTATAAGGGAAGGATATAAATTAAAATATGTTGGCACAGGCACAATAAGTGCGGCATTTCAAAGATTTGGAAGTGGGATTTATTTTTCTGGAACATCATCAAAATCAGATGATTATAATGAAGGCTCATTAATAAATTATTTAGGAGCGAATTATAAAGTGATGTTACTGAACAAATTAGTCGTAGGCAAAGGATACGCATTAACTAAAGATGCAATGACTTTAACAAGTCCTCCCGATGGGTATGATAGTGTACTTGGCGAACCAAGTACTTCCGGGAATCTGAATTATGATGAAGTCGTGGTTTATAAAGAAGAAGCTTCTATCCCACAATATTTGATAGTTTATGAAACTTTATAACAAATGGTAGATTTAATTTAATATTATTTAATTGATCGATTGGGTTGATTAATTTGGTAAATAATAATGAGAGTGAGAAATTATTTAAAGTGTATTTTCTTAGATTTAGAAATCATCTATTTTTTTTTCCTAATTTGTCATATTAATAACGTGTAAAATATAGTAAATATCTAATTACATCGCATGCTAAGCGAAAAAAATTTAATTATTTATATGGGTCAATTATGCTGTCACGTGATAAATTTGGATTTAGATTTTGAGAAAATAATATATATATTATGAAAGAGAGATGATGAATTGTTAAAAATGCAATGCGTTGAGAAATATTAAAAAATTTCCGCGTAAATGATCAACTAAAAAAGTAGGGGTTCGGTCTTTGGGGAATTATAAGATTATGACGCAAAAGTTACTTGTAAAAAATTAGAATATGATACTTTTCTATAAAATAAAAGATATTTTTTTGATAAATAGAAAGCCTTATTCGAATAATATGCGACAAAAGTAACCAAAAATTACCGAATGGATAAATCTAGTGATACCATTCTTTAACAACCCCATTACGAGAAATTGATAAAAAAAAAAATTTTTTTTACGGTTTATATCGATATCAATAAAAGGTTAACGCCAAAATTTACCGATCAATTTGACAATTAAATTCGTACGACCAGCAAACATTGTAGTTCGGAGACCTCCCCCTTGTGACCATAGTGGAAATTTGAAAAAAAATGTGCATTTAAAGAGGGTATGGTGTGTGCATTTAAAGTGAGAAATTTTGTATGATCTTTAGCATTTATAGAAAAAAATATATGATGCATTTAGGGAGAGTGCATTTAGATGTATTATATACTTTGCGCTTTGTTACACGAGTTATATAAACAAAATAAACCTGATCGGTACGTCTTTTTTTTATAGTTAGAATCATTTTATCAAATTTAGTATTAGCGAACAAACATCAAGCAACTTTCCATCATCCATCCATCCATCCATCCATTCATTCATTCAATAATTTTATTCTTCGCGACATTATTAAACTTTCTAGACATTCGTTTCATTAAATTTCTTTGAATAATCATTTCAATCCATAAAGGGAAAGAAGCAAACAATTAAACCACCTTTTGTTTTCTCGATTCGGTTTCAGTCAGATTATTACTGTTCCGTATTAAAAACATTTTGCAATCACGTGAATATCACGTAACATTAGATTTTTCTAATTTCGGAAATTTATTAAATGTATATTTTTTATTTTGTCATCAGGGGCTTTAGCCTTAATTAATCCCAAGTGTAACGAAGGTCTTTAGATGTCGCCCGCTCAAAAATTGAGTCGATACGTAATTGGTCACTTTCGTTACACCTGTGCTCCAGGTTTCCAAAACCGTTCCCTAGTGTTTTATGGGTATTATTTAATAATGATAATATTAAAAATATAAATAGAAAAAGGTTTATTATAACCGAAAAACATTATTTTCGAAAATTATTTTAATTAAAATCTCAACTTTCTTATAATGCAAAATTCAGATTATAGTAGTCAACCACCTCCTATTCCTACTCGACCGACATACGGAAATTGTATGGAACCTAATTGCAATTGTTCTTCCATCAATTGTAATGAACACGATTCAAAAAGATGCGCTAATTGTAGCCATGATACAGTCATGCATTTGCAACTTGAGAATTTATCATTAAATGATAACATAAATCAATTGAATTACGGGGGGTGTAATGAACTCCATTGCAATTGTCCAGCCATGATTCCGACTGAACACGATCATTTAATATGTTTTCGATGTAAACATGATCACTTAATACATGTAATTTTACCATCAAATGAGAACCAATTACAATACGGAAGATGTTTAGAAACACCTTGCAATTGTCCATGCATGATTATGAATGAACAAGACCCAACGAAATGCTTTTCTTGTCATCATGATCACTTAATACACTTAAATTTTGGTAACGTTACTTTCCAATTTGTCTTTTATCTTTCAATTCTCTTAATAAAAAAAAAATATTTTTTTCAATCATTTCCTTCGATGGGATTAATCAAATTTTAACTTTTTTTCATTGTCAAAATTTTAGATAATCAAATGAATTGCAACGTTAACATTTATAATCAAATTCAACCTCCGTTACCTCTTCAAGGTTTGCAAAAAGAAAATCTAAATTAAATATTAATTTTTGTCATCTACTAATTAAGTTTTTCATGTAGTTCGAGAACGACCACCACCAGATACAATATGGTTTTATAATAGAAATGATCCATATTATGAGTTCACTAATTTCCAAGAAGGATTTCCAATAAAAGCAGTAATTCCATTTCCTGGACCAATACTAGAAGTTAAAAATTGGCCAACAAGTGAACACCTTTTTCAGGCGGCAAAATTTCAAAGTTCTAAAGTAATTGCTGATGGAATACGCCGGTGTCATACAGCTAGAGATGCATTAAATATGGCACGTCAATATCGAGAATTTATGGATCATAATTGGCAATCAATAAATGTCAAAGTAATGGAATGGGTTGTAAGGTGTAAATTTGAACAACATGGCTTTCTTGCAAGGCTGTTATTGAATACGGGAGATAAGAAATTGGTAGAACACACAGAAGTCGATAAATTTTGGGGAGATGGTGGTGATGGATCAGGACAGAACATGCTTGGAGAGATTTTAATGCGTGTTAGACAAAATTTAAGAGAAACTCGATCACATCAACACAATTATGAATATGATCAATCAAGAGGAATTATAGATAAAAAGTTAATATATCCTATGACATATTATGTACCATTACCTTCTTCATCACAAGATTTCCGGGTTTGGAATGGACCTAATCATCCTAATAATACTAATATTAGAAATATTGAACGTGAGGAAGGGTCTTCTCAACAACCGCTAATTTCGGAACAACAAGAAGGTCAACCGGTTCCACCACCATTACCTCCACGTAGAAATAGAGATATACAGCTTTTAAAGCAACAACATCAAGCATTACCTCCGATACCATCACAAGCTGCCAATCATCAACGACTGATTCAACAAGAAATACAAAATGATGTGACCCATTTTAATCATAATTATCATCACCAACAACAAGCAGTTTGTCACAACAGCAGTACAAATGAACCTCATCGTATGTAAAATATATTTAATATTATATATTCATATATATATTTTTTTTCTATTTCTTAATAATGGTATGTCAGTAAATAAATATAATTTTAATATTTATTTATACAAATAATATAAAAATTTATCAGTTTTATTACACAACAATAATAATAATAAACTGTATTCTTTAATATTAAATTTGAAATAATGAGAATAATGACAATAAATAAATAAATTAATTATTTGGTTTGGTAACTACTTGAGCTTTACAAAGTACTTTTCTATTTTGATCTTTAGTGTTCTTTACACTAATCAATGGAAAACAACAAATTTCCACTACCAAATTATCATCTACATCATCATCCCAAGCACCATCCATAAGGTTGTTTTGTACAGGGGTTCCTGCTTCAAAGAATTTTGTAAATTCAGGAACAGGTTCTTGAGCATTTAATCTGAAATATAAGTGTACAATTTCTCTAATTAATTTATTAGCATTTTCTTTTAAATCAGCCAAACGTTCTTCATTTTTTATTTGACGATAGCGAGAAAGCATGTCGAGAATTTTTGTCGTGAGTTGATCAATAAATGGATGATTAGGTTTACAAAAACCTCTTGTACCTAATACAGCATAAATTTGCTGCCGAATTTTTATTGGAGTGATTTTTGTGATGTCATCGGTTCCTTCACGTGATTCGGCTAAATGGTTAACCAAACCAACTAATTGCGTCATTACTACTGAAATTTCCGCCTCCAAATTATTATTATTATCTAATACAACTGGAACAACTGGAACTGGAGATGAAGATTTTTTTGGAATCATTAAGGAAGAGGAACGTTTCGGAGAATCTTTTCTAATATTAGCAAAAACTGCCTGAACTTGTGCTTGAGCGTCATGTGGAGAATTAGTTGGTGATGAAGGTGGTTGCTGCTGCTGTTGCGGTGGTTGTTGCTGCTGCTGCTGTTGTTGTGGTTGTGGTTGCTGCTGTGATTGCTGCTGCTGTGGTTGCGGTTGTGATTGTGGTTGTTGCGGTTGTTGTTGCTGCTGCTGTGATTGCGGTTGTGATTGTATTGACAGTTGTGATAATTGTCTGAAATGTTGTGGTTTAGGCCTTGATCTTGGGTCACTTTGATTTAAATAAGTTGCTAATTCTTCAAATAAAGTTTGAACAATTAATCTTTGCAAGGCAGCGGCCAATATTGGTTTCCAACTTTTTGCACCAACCCTAGTCGAACACTTGTATTTTTGAAATAATTCATTCGTAGCATCGTCATCAATCGTAATATCTCTTCCTTTTACTGTAGTAATTTCCGTAAGTGAATTAACGATTTCTCTAATAACTTTTGTTAACTGTACAAGGTTATTACTATCCTCATCTCCCCACCTTACATTTGTGGCTTTACCAAGTGCACTCTGATACATTGAAGCTTCATTCTTTAATTCCGCTAATTGTTTCTTTAAATTTGATACTTCTATATCCGAATTATGCGCTCTCTGTTGCCAACGTTTTTTCTCTGATTCGCTTTTCCCTTGAACTTCATCATATCTTAATTGCAAATCATGGCTTTGATTAATTAAAGTTCCTTTTTCTTGCTCAACCTTTTCAAACCATTGTTTATATTTTAAAGTTAAACCTTGTAAACGTTGGATGCTGCCTGAATCTAAAGTTTCAGGAGGCCTTTGAAGTAATTCATTATCTTCATTGATTTGTTGTCGACTTGAATCATTAGAATTTGCTTGTCCTATTATTTAAAGGTTGATAATTTTTAAAATTTGAAATTCGGGGATTTTAAAAAATTTTTTTCGGATTATTGACAGGACGAACCTTTGTACTTGTTAAGGTCTGCTTTTCGTTTTCGCGTGGGAGGTGGTGGTGCTACAGCGTTACTATCATGTTCTTGAATTGCTTGGGATTGTCTACCACTTGAAATTGTAGGATCTGTAGGCATAGCTATCATAAACTCATTTAAGTTAAAAAATATAAAATTATCGTATATAATGGCATTAAAAAGTTTACTGTCACAATTTCCGAGGCAAAAATAACAAAAATAAATTTTTTTTTTACCTTTTTCAAATTATCACATTAAATCACATAATTTCTTTTAATTTATATCACTTGTAAATTATTGGAGAAAAAAATTTTCGAAGGTTTTCTGTAATTTTCCATTGAAAGATAGATAATTTCAATTTCATTCTCATTGTTTAATTTCCAAATTTGTTAATAAATTTACAATAGGGAAATTAACTCCGTGTACGCCTTATAGATAAATTTGTCATATATTATTCAATTCCTTTTTCAGATTCTTATTCGTTTCCTCGCGAAACCATGATTCCTTTTAAAGGAATTGTGTTGGAGAAACAAAGAATTGAAAAATAAAGGAAAACCATATAATAGGTTTGTTGATTACACAAAATTATTTGCACATTTCTTAAAAAAAATTGAAAAAATGAGTCAAAAATAGATCCGGCTAAATAAAAACTTTTTCAACGCAAATTTGTTATCTGATCGAAAATGAGATGGCGTTTTTGGTTAGTTTCAACCTTTTGTAACACATTTACGTTTTTTTTGAACTAAATTCAAGATAAAAGACTATAATAATTTTGGGATGAAACATGGTAAATGTGTTAAATGTGGAAAAGGAATGTGAATGTGATACGATACATTTTTAATTATATATATTTTTTTTTTATGATTTCGTCAAAAGGTTTCATCTCGCTTTTTTTTTTTTTTTAGCTTTTTTTTTAAAAAAAGAAAAGAAAAAAAAGAAAAATAAGGAAGAATCATATCCATTTATTAGATTCTTAACATAAAAATATAACAATTAAACTACACACAAGGGGTTCATAGAAACTATTAATAAATTTTTGCAGCTCACACGGTAGGTGCTCGAAAATATGAAAAGCAAAGGGTTTTTTTTATAGTTGCACTACTTTTTTTTATTTAAATAAAATTTTTTTGAATCTGTTAAAATCCATTTCTTTTTTTGCTTGTTTAACAACTTTCTTTATATTTACTTTTTAAAGAACAAATAATTTTTGAGGAATTGTTTGTGGTAAAGCAAATTTTAAACAACCAATATATATATATATATATACCTTTAATAAAAAGCCTTGAACTTTTCAAATCCATTTTTTTTTTTTTAGTAAAGTAATTAACAAAACTTTACTTATTATTTTTTTCACATATGCCTTACTCCCAAAGAAAGAAAAATAATATTTATTTTTAATTTAACAACTCGGTCTATAGAAAAACAACTATAAACTTTAACGATTAAATAGTTATGGCAAGAGATATTCGGGTTGTTGTATCTATTGGTATGTTCTCGATGTAACGTTAATCGTTTTATGCTCTTATATTAACCATTTTACTACGCCCATTATCTTTCTCAGACTTTGGTACAACATTTTCAGGTATAAAAAATTCACATTTTAATCATCTTAATTTTCTTCTATCAATTGAATCGATGCTAGAAAATTGCTTTTTTGAAATTTTAATTAGGATTTGCATATTCAAACAAGATCAATCCAGAAATCATCACCAACGACACAGTAAGTTCAGCCTTAAATTTGAAATCAGTGATTATATCTTTATTTACATTTTTTTTTTAAAAAAAAAATTTTTTTGTAGTGGTAAGAATTTTATAAGTCGAGTAAATTCCTTTTGACAGAATTGGAAACTTAGAGTACGAGGCTTTAGTAAAGCGGTTATATTAAACCGTCTGTAGACTCTTTCAAATTTTCTTATCCTTTTAAATAATATCATATTTAAATAATAGGCCAGAGCAAACAGGGGTTTTCAAAACCAATACGGTACTGGCATATGATGATAATTTACAATTGGTAGCATGGGGGTATCCCGCTTTGGCTCAAGAACCACCAAAGAAAAAGCGCCTTCAGAATAAACCACGATCCAAACCGGTGGAATTGTTTAAATTACATTTGGCGAATGTAAGGGATGATGAAAAGCCTCCGCTTCCTCATGGATTAGATCCCAGAAGAGCAATCACTGATTATCTACATGAAATGAATAAAGTAAGATCATTTTACTTTTATAAGGCGATTAGAAAAATGATGTCACTTATAAGAAATTTGCAAATTTTTGTATGAATTTATCAAATTTTAGTTAATTGTGGAAACACTTAACTCTCGATGGCCGGGTATAAGGTATCCTCAACAAGTACGATTCGTACTATCGGTACCTTCAGAATGGTAATCATTATTTTTCTTAAAATTTCCTTTAGCATCTTATCATTCATAATTAACTTGGAGTTTGCCCCTTTTATAGGCATCATGATGCCAAAGCCATAATGAGAGAATGTATGTTCAATGCGGGCTACTTGGAAACTAGACAATCTGAAAATTTGGAATTCACAACTGAACGTATGTTAAATTTACTATAATTAATAACAAATCGAAATTTCTTAATCAAAAATTTTAAGCATAACTTTTTTTTTTTTCCAGCCGAAGCAGCTGCTGTATATTGCATGAAAAGTTTAACGGAACATCACTTATCCGTAGGATGTAAATATGTATAATTTTCATTTATGCGCGGCACACATATATCTCTATTTAATATTAATACAACTTTCTTTTTTTTCACGCATCAGCATCATTTATGATTGTTGACTGTGGTGGTGGTACAGTAGATTTAACAACCAGAACTTTATTACCTGGAATGAAATTGAGTGAAATTACCGAACGTAGTGGAGACTTATGTGGTAGTTCTTATGTAGATCGGGAATTTTTAAGATTCCTCGGGAGGAAATTAGGATATGCAGCAATGAAAAAATTAAAAGAAAATCATTACGGGCAAATGCAATATTTAGTACAACAGTTTTGTTCACGAGTGAAATTTGCATTTAACGGAAATCCAAATGAATACGTCACCAAAGAATTGGATATTGAAAGAGTGTGTCCAGCATTAATGGAATATGTTACAGGACATGCAAAAGAACAAATGGAAGAAGCCGAATGGTTGATTGAATTGGATTTCTTGAATGTAAAAGAAATGTTTGACCCTGTTGTTAATAAGATTATCGAATTGATTACAAGACAATTGGCGTCAACTGAACGAAGATGTAGCGCAATGTTTTTGGTGGGCGGGTTTAGTGAATCTCAATATTTACAATCACAAATCCGAAGACAATTTATGAATCAAGTATCGACCATCGCTGTACCAAAACATCCGATTGCTGCTGTTGAAAGAGGTGCTCTGGAATACGGGTTGAATATGGAGATTGTACAAACACGTGTGTTGAAATTCTGTTACGGAGTTGAAGTTAGTGCTAAATGGGAGAAGGGTGATCCACCAGAACGTAGAACTCCTTCAGGACGTATATTTAAATTCCATCGATTGGCATTAAGAGGTGTTGAAGTTGCAGTGGATCAGAAATTTTATTACACAGCTGGTCCTGTAGTTCCAAATCAAACCGATATGACCTTTAATATCTTTATTACACCGGATAATAATTCTAAATATTGTGACGAAGACGGTATGAAAATGCTAGGAAAAATGAAAATAGATTTACCTGATCCCCAACGTGGTAAAAATAGACTAGTTGAATTCACTTTAACTTTTGGTACTATGGAAGTTAAAGCTACCGCCATCAACAAGAGAACTGGTCAAATTTATGAAAGCACCTTTATTTTGGAATTCTAATATAATAATAGATTCAATTTGAAAGTTAAATCGGAAAAAAAAATTTCAATTGGAAACGAATTAATTAGAAAAAATATATATATACATTATTTATAAATATAATAATTATTTTATTTATTATGAATTATATAGTATAACCTTTTTGTTGAAATATAATTTTAAACTTGTTAATTTAGGATTATAAACGAAAATATTGTATAATCATTAGTGTATGCCTGACTTTTTTTTTTTAAAAGAAAAAAATATCTAATTTCATTTACCCTATTTTAAACATTTATTTTACATTCATTTTATTGCATTATGATTTTTTTTTTTTTTTTTTTATAAAATATAATTTATTATTTGTGAAGTTACATAAAAAACTTATTAAAAAAATCAATTTTCTTTTCCAAAAAATTTATATATTATAGTTATCTGTTTTTCGCCTGCTCACAAAAAAAGTTTTGATTTAATGTATTTAATGTACACATTTTATAATAACAACTTAATGGGAGTGGGGGATGGGGACAGTGAATTCTTTTGGTTCCGAGACAAATATTGTCCAATTTTGATGAATCGAGTCAATCTAAAGTTTTTTTTGTCCTTGACGGGACATTAAAAATCATAGCTCACGTAATACATCATCATCATTTTTCCTATTTCGGTTAGAAATAAGATTAGATAGTATGATCTGCGGATTTGCGGAGCAATAACCCAGACCACTGAAAATTATACGTTTGCATAGGACTGTCTTGACAAATAAGTTTTGTTAGGTTCTTGTTGATAAAAGAAAATATAAATTTAAGCATGATTTTATTTTTAGGAATTTTTTTTTTATAAGCAAGGTCTCGAGTGAAATGGTCAATGCCAACAAAAACAAAAACAAAAAAAAAGATTATGGCCTGCACATCCTTTTTATGGATATCTCTGTATAATATTTGATCATACTAACTGACTATACATACCTACACCAAATCACTATAAAAAAAAATTCTTTTTTTATATTTTAAAAATTTGGTGATTTTCGTCCTTTATCCACCAATAATGTATATAGTTTTGTATTTATTTTGAATGTCTTTTGATCTTATATTGAATTTTTTAATCCATTTGCCTTTAACATATTCTGATCTGGAAATCTGGAACAACCGGCAATATAATAATTCTTTTGTGATGGAAATATAAACAAACGATATTTCACGTAGTATATATGGGACCTTTGCAATAGAAAGGGGGGAAACTGCCGGGAAAAATTAATTTTACTTTTATATGCCAAATATGATTTTTAGGCTGAAATATATTCAAATTTAGCATTAACTCATTTTTGATTTTTCCGGTAGTTTCCCCCCTTTCTATTGCAAAGGCCCCATATATATAACCTTGAGAGGGTGTCCGAATTTCTTTATTTTTATTTTTTTAAAAAAGCAGAATTTTGAAACCAGCTAGTGAAAACCTTAACCCATCTTAGTGTCTCTGAGACCGATGAACTGAACCGAACAATACCGACAGCTTTGGTGGAAAACCGAAAACATACATCCGAATTCCAAGTGGAATGAAGCGATGTAAGCCTTCTATTTTCTTCTCGATGTTTATTTGCTAGTTTTGAAATCAACATACCTTTTTGCGCTTTAAGACTGGCGTCATCTTGGATGAATATATTTTTCAAACTGATTAATTAATGTAGAAATTGGTAAAACCAAATGACCCACGGGATCTGGTAGAAAACGTTTAGACCTTATCAAAGTTCATTATCTGGATTGATTTATTTACAGCATTGAAATCTATGATCCATTAAAAATAAATTATTCACAAATTTCAAATTTGATATTTATTTACTGTTTATGTTGGAATGTAATATATAAAAAAAATCCGATTAGTCCATGTAAATTTGATTTATTGTAAATAATATAGTAAACAATATTAAAAAAAAAAAAGTATGGCTCCGTTTCAAACAAATTTTATCTGTATATTACAAAGTTGAAATTAATAAAGATAATAAATATAATGAAGTTGACGAAAAGCATCGAAATTACGTGATGAGTCTTTCTGCCTTCTGGAAATTTTAATAGAAGGTCGTTTATGCCTAATACGAGGCGGAACCTTAAGAGTGGAATAGAGAATTACTGGCTCCTTCCAAATATGACAGGAAAGTTTTATCTTTACACAGAATCCTTGGCAACATTTGAAATTTTATTCTTTTATAGGCTTGGCATAATTGTGTAAAGAATTACACGGTCACATCATTCTTTGGCCGTGGAGTAAGTAATTTGCAACAGCACATCACGGGGAATCATGGTAAACAATGCATATTTTGCTACTTCTTAGTAAAATCCACCAATCAAATGCATTGCTAATAATAATTGTCAAGTTAAGGTTGTATGGCATAAACCCGAGGTTTAGCAAAATGTTTCGACAGGTAGTAAACATATAAAAAGCTTTGATAGTGATTTCAATTACCAAAATAGGATTACGAAGGGACTAAAAATATATATAAATAGATCAACACCATATATTTCCATAATTAGTGTTTATCATGAAGATCTTTGAATCCCACAATTTCAGATTTTTCACTTTTTTAATATAAATAAGAACAGAATTCATTTGTTTGCTGCATTCACTCTTGTGAGTGTTTAGACACCCTCTTATGGAGGGAGATGATGGCTATAGGCTGACAAAGATCTTTAACAAGGTAAACTGCGCTCCCTGTTTTACCAAAGTTTTAATGATACAGGTTACAAGATTGTTAGCATAGCGAGGCTCAAGGAATAGTCGCTTAAAGGAATTTGCTTCCCTAGACATGGAATGCGAGTGTGTCACTCCCTGCTAACTTTTACATTATTTTTTTTTTTTTTTTATAATAGATAATCTTGCTTTAACCTTTCGATAGAGGTCGTTTTTACCATCTTGGTAATCCTTTATATATTATAGCGGGTGGTGTGAAAGGGGATTGTTTGTTTGGGATTTTTATAAAAAATTTTACCATGTAAATATTTATCGATAAATATGAAATTTCGATTTTGCTCTTAAAAGTTATATTTGCAAGGTTCATTAATATCCTTTTCAGACAAAGAGGAAAAGTGGAGTATATATTAATTGATGAAAATCGATTTCAACCAATTAAAAATAAAAATCAACGAGAAGTTATTACTATAAATTATCTAACGGCAGTTGATGAATCCGTTCTCGTAATAGAACATTTTATAGTATAGAATTGAATAACTTCAACATTCCGTTGGATTTATTAAATGACTTTGTGAACCTCGATCTCATTAATAGATTTTTAACGTTCCTAAAACTTGGTTGTGACTTAGTGATACATGCAAACCTATCATTATCGCAAATTTGTTCTAATGCAAAATATTAATAAAAAAATCTATTACGTTATCTACTCAAATCAGACATACTGTATATATTGACGTTATTTTTCGAAATTTAAAATAAAATCTAAATAATTATTTTTTACGCTTCCATTCTTTAAATTTAAGTGATGCTCTTAAATAATTAATTTATAATGAATATATTTGAAACGCATATTTTAAACCTTATCTTTAAAACATATGTTTATTTAGAAGCGATCTAACATTATAACACATCAATATTATGGCACATAAAAAAAAAATAGTTTTACGTTCTTCGATCTCCATTAAAAAAGTATAATATTTCAATAATACATGTATATTATTTTTTTTTTAAATTGATATGTTTTTGTCAGTCCACAATGTTCCTTTTCTAAATGTAATCAAATTTCTCAAAATTATAAAGCATGATATCATTATTACATTTCCAATGTTTCCCAGAAGAAGCGATAGGATTTAAGATCTCATAAAAACAAATTCAAATTTCAGTAAATTTCTCCACGATTTAACAAATAAATTAAATTAATGTTGTGAATATTCCTATACTTTCAAAAGTTAAATTTTGAGTCAAAGTGATGACTTTGTCAACGACAACATACAATTAAAATTTCAATTTCCTCTTTTACAGTTTTATAACCGTTGAACTAACCAAAAGATTGAGGACTTTCTTCAGAATCCATATTGGAAAATGAAATTTTATAAATAACTTCGGGAACCGTTATTAGTAATCAATTAAAAATGTTCAATAAATAACTTTTATTCCAAATCAAGATTATTTAGTTTATTTAAACAAAAAATAAAGTTTCGACCAAACAGTTATCATCATGTAAAATTTAAACCGAACTTGATTGAAATTTTTTTATAAAGAAATAATAATAATGTAATAAAAGTTGAAATTTTGTAAATAAAAACATTCCTAATAAGATATTTTAAAAAGGTTTAAAATAAAAAAAAAGAATGAATGATATACTTGTATTACTTTTTCTTCGTGCTAAAGGATTGTAAGTATGCGAAAATACTATTCTTTGGGATTTGCCCACCATAAATAAAGCCTTGTAAAATTGAAGCGAAGGATTTTTTAGTAATGCCGCCCTCTTTAAATCCAAGTCTTGAAAAGATGTAATATCTTAATAATAAATAAATATATATATATATATTTAATAAACATAATAAATTAATATTTTTTTTTTAAAAAAAAAACAGAGAGAACTTGTAATAAAAAAAAACTCTCACTTAGAGTAGCTGCCAATAACATCAATGGGATAAGACATTTGAATCCCGATAATTGGAATAGTATAGTTTGGAACGTAACCGAAAAAAAAGTAACCATCTTCCTCATCTTTTTTCTTTTTGTAGACACATTTTTGTTTATCCGAGTTGGAGGCCTCAGACTCAGGAACTTGTTGGGAGGTTTTAATAGAATCCAAGTTTTGTTCGGTGTCAGAAATATACGAAATTTTTTCAAACGAATTAGATTCCGAATTCTCTTGCTCTAAGGTAAAAGATTTTTTTGGAAGTGATTTGTCGTTTTCAAAAGGGAGGAAGTCGTCATTTAAAGACTCATTGAATTCGGTATTGGATGAGGAGGTAGATAAATGACCAATAGAAAAATCAGAGATGTCGACAGTCATTTTATTTTTTCTTTCTTTTTAATTTTTTTTGGACAACACATTTTCATTATTTATAATAAGAAAATGAACATTTCTGCGCCTAGAGATTACATAACGTGTTATTGTTTTGAAAAAGTAAAAAGATGCAGATTTTCGCGTTGAACTTTAATAAAATTCCATCTAAAACGACAAAAGAAAATTTAAAATAACAGCCAAAAAGTTTTTATATGGACTTTTTCATAAGATTCATGCAATGTAAAGATGGTCATTTGATGTTGTTGACTTTATTGAGAAATTTTTAAGGGAAACTTGTGTGCCTTACTGCGTTGGATATAAGGAAATGGGAGGTCTTGGCGTTAATTGCTAAATACGTTTTTCTCAAAAAAAGTATGGTTTTTGTTTCCGAAATAAAAAGGAACCGTAAAATTTGCAAATTAAATTACTGCGTAAAATAAAATAACATAACATCGATGATCATTAACCTTTGTGGGAAATCTGCTTTTGTTTTTTTTTTCTTCAATATAATTAATTCCGATCATTTTATTCTCAAATTTCGCAATATTACATGTACTTCTAAAGTTCAATTGTGTTACCAGTAAATTCGCGACAAACCAATACCAAATTTCCTTATTTTCTGATATACCGATTCATAAACTTCAAATCATCTTAGTATTTTATCTTTCTTTATTATACCATTGATTTCACATTTCAATATGAACAGTTTTATTCATTTGCTAATATAATAATGTTTTACGAGTCAAAAAAAAAAAATAAATAAAATAAAAAAATCTAATAATTCCACTTTTGGATAATGTGCCTTTGCTTACCAAATTCCCCTGGTTTTGCTCCACCACTTTAAAGTCATCAGACCGTCATGCATGATGAATCACGTGAACAATCATTTTCTCCTAACGTGGAAACAAAAACACCCACTAAACAAAAGAAGGTTAAATCAACCTGTACTAATCGATTAACTGCTTGATTCTAATAAAATTTGTGCGCCCATAATTCATTTTAATTGATGATGCGGTTTTTTTTTTTGCTAGCCATAATTAAACTTTCCCACATTTTCGGGGTTCTCATGCACTCAATATTAGATGGAAAAGAATGAATTCTCGAACTCCATGAATTTTTTCGGGTTATATTGCACTAAGGTGGCAAAGTACAAGGCACAAGGTGCAGAGTAACCGTTTTATCGGGCTTATCTTCGTTGCATAGCATTATTACATAAAGTGCTTAGGAACCTAGAATATGGTCAAATTAAAAATGCAAATACGAATATCGGTTAGTCAGTTACGTTATAAAAATGGAAATGTGCGCACTGACGTACTTGAGGCGCAGCACATCCAAAAAAGAACTGGATATCAGTCACATCTCATCTCATGATAAACAACACGAGAATTATAAATCGAAAAACGAAACGAATATACGTGTAAATTGAATTTTTGAACATCCCATGACTATTCCCCCCAAAAAAATTTTAAAAGAGATAAAAAAAAAAAAAAAAAAGCGGGGTTACGTTGGGGTTGCATTAGTTGTAGAGTCACAATTATGGAACCAAATCATAGAATGTAGCCTTACGATCTTTTTTCATTTTTGGTATTTCAATAAGAACAAATTTATCAATAATATAAAATTTTAAAATTAATCCTTGTACACGCGCAACTTTAAACATGATTTGCATTTAAAATGGTTACACGTCGAACACTAGCTATGAAACTTATGAAACTACGCCAATCCAAATAAAGTAATTAAAGGTGCGCCTAACGTACTTTGAAAGGGCAATTTTCAAATAAAGAACGAGACTAAGTGAGACAAAGAGATTTATTTGAGGTAAAAAATTTTTTCATTATTGTCATTTACGATTGTGAAAAGAATTGAAAGAAAGAAAAAATACAACACATGCACATTAATCGAAACATGGAAATACCCAATAAAATATTGATTGTGATTCCGCATGAATAATCGTGAAATCATAGATATGGTATGATAAAAATTTAAAATAGATTTACGAATTTAGTAATTTAACCAACGACGAATGTCGTAGCGTGCAGCTATGATGCATTTTAAAACAGATAAAGTTTTGATTGCATCCGAATAATTCCCTCCAAATTTTTTTTTGTACTTTCTTACATTTGGTTTAGACTAAAACGCACTCGCCCCACCACTTTTTTTTTTAAAAAAAATTGCGCAATATCTCGATAAATCGTACAAAAAGGAAATTTTGAAAGGATGTGTCACAAATGATTTTTTAACGTATTTAATTACCGAAAAGAATCGTCTTAATCATGATACTGAAGAAAGTAAAAATTTGAAACGATCAAGGAGGATGATGTGCCATGAAAATCATCTAGATAGAAGCATCTTTCACTAGAATACAAATGAAAATTTAAAATAAATTAAATTAAAATTATTGAAATCTCTCTCAATTGAGGCAAATTTGATTTTACCTAAATCACTTCCTTTCACCCCTATTCATAATAATAAAAAAAGATCTTTAAAAATCAAAGGAATCAACTATAATATAAAAGAGAAAGCGAAAAATTGAATGAACCTATTTAGAGAATCGATTATTTGGCTAATTCACTTAGCCGAAATTCAAAAACTTTAATCATGATTTACCGGATTTTCATAAAGTGGATCGGCCTATCATAGGTGACACGACATAATTTCCGCATTTGTCGCGTGGATTTAATAAAATAAAAGAAAGAAAGAAAAAAATTAATGTAAAATCTTATGGTCTATATTCGGCAAAACATCCGAGATTGAAAAGAATAGACTTATAAAAACAATGGAATTTCTTATCTATAGGTTTTGTGTGTACTTTACCTGAAATCATAACACAATGTTTTTTTACAATTACAAGTTTCAACGAATTATCTTATGCAGGAGTAAATAGATGAAATGAACAAAGCCTTCTATGACCACGAATTTAGTTAACCCTCTCTTCTCAATAATTTATTTTTATCAACCTTTTACTGAATAGGTAACTTAGTTGCCTCCGAAGATATTCCTAAATAAAAATTCATAAATCAGAAGACATACATAACAGGTAATGTAAATAGGGGTCTTATCGGTGGGTGAATTTTATATAAAACCAGTTTTTTTTTCGAAATTTTATCATTTTTTTTCTTTTCTTTTCTCCCATATTGAACAAGATTAGTTAGTCAACTCTGTAAAAATCAAAATTTTCTCTTGCTATTCCATAAAATCAACCAAACCTGTTAAAATTATAATTCATCCCTGTTAATCCTTTCTTACTAAGTTAAAAATCTAATAACGCGAAAAAAATTTTTCTTCGAAAAAAAAATCTGTGTTCAAATTGGACAAACGAAGAAAGAAACACGACCCATCTTCGGTTGATAATTTGATAAACGCCACATACTTTACTGCGCCTCAAAGTTTAATATCATAAACACAAACATAAACAAACAAACAAATACACAAAATAACAAAGCATTCCTCCGCTCCCCAAAAATAAATCTTGATTTCAGTGAATGTTAAAATTTCTTATATAAGAAGGTAATTCAAGGTGCAAAAAATTCTTTTTTTTTTCCGAGGGATTTTTCTTATCTTCCTCACCTTAAATAAACTATAGTTTTGTGTTAGAAATCCATTTACCCATTTTTTATCCCAAACTTTCAACACGCTTTCCTTTTCTTTTGTTTTTTTCTTGTTTTAATGAATTATAAATTTTGAATTAACCAAAAGATAATGAAAAGATAGGTTAACCTTTATTAATGTTTTAAATATTTATATAGTTTACTTTATTGACCTTTGGGTTTTCGCGTCTCGCAAGCACGTAGAACGATAAAATCTCTTTGTCCTACCATATAAAAGAAAAGTAAGGATGCCTACTACACAAAGTAAACCAACTTCTGGCGACGACATAAATAAAGCAAAACAATTATATCATGATATAAATGATTATTTGGATTGTTTGGCGGAAATAATACAATCCGAAGTACAAGAATTAGACGATGAGGATTCTGACGATGAAGAATTATCTCCCATTGCCTTGCAATTCTTAAAAGACTATAAAGAATACGTCTCCTCACCATCTCAAGTTCATACACAACTTCTCGATTCTGGTTCTTCTTCTACCTCGTCCTCAGGCTCCTCCTCATCCTCACGACTACAAAAAAAGCGGTTTTGGATGTATTCTCAAACGAATCAAATGTTACAATCACTTCCTCCGAAGCTACTCAACTTTAATCCAAAATTATGTGAAGCAAAGATAGATTATAGTGCACAAGCCTCTCCATCATTCTCCGCTTCTCCTTCCGACACAACTAACATCAATAACGAAAAGTTACTTATTAATAACACTAGCACAACCGTTGCATCATTGAAAGCTCATTTAGCAAAAGAACAAGAAAAGAATTGTATCGTTATTCGCCAACCGCAATATGCTTCTGTTGAGGAGAAAAATTTCGTTTTTGTTGTTAAAAAATCAACTGCAGCTATTGTCGCTCCTCCTAAACTCGTTGAATCACCTATTAAAGAGAAAATTGAAGTAATATCTGAAAAATCCGAAGAAATTGAAAACATTTCATCAGAAAAAGTTAAAAAGAATCCAATCAGCCTCGATTTGATTTCCAATTTCGTAAGTATACTTTGGTTTTATAAAGTCACGTGAAAGAAACGAAACTAATTTTCTTTCCTTCTTCCAAATTTAGATTGCCATTACGAAGGTTGGATTTTCCAAGTCTCAACTTTCTCAACTTTCTTCGCTCATGTGGACCGAGTGAAGGATGGATCTCTAAGCTTTGAAGCATATATGCTTCTTACTTTATAAACATTTTCATTTTATATTTTTCTCATATGCATTTCTTTAACAAGCACAAAAAAAATTAAAAAAAAAAAAACCAAAAAAAAGGGGGTCAAATTTAATGTGTAAAATATTTTTTTTTTTCTTTTTTAATAATTTCTATTTTCTTTCATTTTCTTTTCATTTTTTCATTTTAATATATAAATATTATTTAATTATTTTATTTGTAATGAAAAAAAATTTTTTAAGTCGTTATGAGTCATGTTCTCTTTCTATTTTTCTATTTTGAGGGCACTCGAAAAATTTTTTTGTAAATAATTTTTCTTTTTAAAAATATTATATTTGTAAATTGTTTTTATATTCTGGTAGTCAAGTACATCATTTATTTCTTTGGGATTACGGGTAATCAAACATTTAAACATTTGGTCATTTCATTTGGGTCATTAATTTGGGGAAAAAAATAAAAAATAATAATTTGATGGTATGGTATTTCCGTACAGAAATGAATGTGAATGTGAAAACTCTCATGTGGGTCATTGTCATGGTTATGCAACAGAACTTAAAATTTTAATTCTTTTTGTGGCGCTTGTGTGGCAGATCGTTGTGTTTGTTTTCTTTAGCATAAAAGACAAATCAGTAAATAACATGTTTTTTTAATTACTTCGCCACTTGTAGAAAGTCCTTATCACTCGATCATCATCTGAAAAAAATTTGTTTTAAATAAACAATTGTTTTTCCGGTGCATATAATTTAATGAAAAAATTGTTATTCTCGTGATTTAAGGATTGAAAAAATCTGGTTTATTCTTTTTTGGTTATTTATTAACCAAAAAAAAGGAGTAAAAATTTTTTTGACAGGAATTGTTAAATAATTATTCCGTTCACATTACTCCCCGAATCCTCCAAACAGGTTTTTTTTTCCCATGAACATTTGATGATATAAAAGTTGGTGTCATCTCTTTTACACTTTGAGTTATAATCTGCAATTACAAAGAATCATTCTTTTGCTCGTTCTATAACTTTCGGCTTAGACCGTGCATAATCAAAAAAAAAAGATTATCTTTCCTTACGTAAAGAACAACAACTAAAGATTTAAAATCAATGAGAATGGTACTTTCTAATTTTGCGCACATGATTTATATAATGTGCATTTGATTGGCGAAATTTTAATTCTTGACCTTTTTAAATCCATCCAATATAAACCTTGCAACGTGACTTGACATGCAAATTAAAAATTATAATTCATTATATATGCATAAAAGGAAATTTTCTGTCCAACATACAATAAAATTGTAAATTCTGTTTTCTCTGAGGATAATTTATAGTGAATCGATCAAAGAATAAATAAATAATTTTTTATTATCGTTTGTAATTTATTAACCAAAATTGTATTTTGACAGCAAAGAATCCCGGCTCTAATCGCTTCAATATTTAAAATTGGTAAACGGTTCTGCCTGAAATTAGAATCGGCTGATTCGTTTGACCCCCTAATTTAGTATGATGTGACATGGCTTAAAAATGGCATTTATAAAAAGAATAAGATCATTGTAATACCCCAATTAGTAATTAAAAATATTAAAAAAAAAAGTGAAAATTGATTTTTTTTTTTTCATAGAAAGCATAATGGAAATCAAACCTAAACGACAGTCAACTTCACTAGAAATTGAGAACGTGATCGAAGAAACGACCGATGGAGATACTAAATTGTATCTAGAAAATGCTATCAAAAAAAGGCAGGAAATCTTTCCGGATTCGAAAAAGGAAACTTTAACGGAACCAACCTTGCCATCACATGATCCAAAAAATTGGCCCGAAGGAAAGAAATCTATAATTCTTTTGATTATCTCCCTCGCTTCGATGATTTCTCCAATGTCTAGCACGTAATACATTTAAGTTGTTGTATTGATTAAGATGAATCATCGAAATTGGTTTTAATTGTTGTTTGTTCTTTTTCAAGGATTTTCTATCCCGCCATTATAGCTATACGTGAATATTTTAAAACCACAGAATTTATCGTTAACGTATCAAGTAAGGCGAAAATATAAGCACATGACATTTTACAGGATGATTATGACGACTAATTCATTAATTTTAATTTTCGTAGTAAGCGTATTCATATTCTTTACGGGTACCGCAGTAAGTGCTTATTCGTTATCATACCCTTAACATTTATTTTATCTTGGTTATGCTCATTCAAATAAAAAATATTTTAAAAAATTTGACAGCCGCTTTTCGTTGCATCTTTCTCAGATACTTATGGGAACAGACGTCACGTTTATTTGGTTTCTTTGTTGCTTTTCACGATTCCAAGCGTTATATGCGTACTAGTAAAGAATATTTGGGTATTAATTACGATGCGAGCCATACAAGCATGTGGTTCGTCCGCAACTCAATGTCTCGGCGCAGGAGTTATAAGTGATATTTACATTCCAACGGGTATCCTTCTTGCATTCATATGCTTTTTTCATCTTCTCACATACAATCGTCTTTAAATTTACTTTTTTTTAATCATAGAGAGAGGATGGGCGTATGGAATTTTGTATCTTGGATTTTATATTGGAGATTTGGGAGGTCCGATAATTGGTGGATTTCTCGCAGAACGTCTAGGATTTACGTGGATATTTTGGTTTTTAGCAATATTTGGATGTATTCTTCTTCCGTTGATATTCTTTTTTCTTCCCGAAACATATCGTCATGACCACGCTAATCTGACCCAACCAACAGCACCCTCTCAACCTATTATGCAAAACTTTAAAAAATTTAATCCATTAACGCCTATTAAGCTTTTAGCTTTACCGAACGTATCATTAAAAATCTTTTATATGAGTACAATCTGGGCATTCATGTACGTACAAAACGTCATTATACCAATAATATTCTACGAGTCATATCAATTATCATATTCATTTATTGGATTGACGTTTCTTGCGCCAGGTATAGGATATTTAATTGGTAGCGTTATCGGTGGACGTTATTCCGATTATGTGTTGAACAAATACAAAGTAGCGCACAATGGGTTTAGTTATCCGGAAATTAGATTGAATAGCATTTGGTTTGGATGCGTTTTAATACCCGTTACATTTGTTGTTTTTGGATGGACACTCGAGTATAAAGCTCATTTGATCTTTCCTATCATTTCCATGTTTTTAGGTAAATTTGTATTTAAAATGTTGAGAAATGTAACGTTGGATTAATCTTTTTTAAAAAAAATTTTTTTTTTTTTAGGTGGATTTGGATCATTATTTGTTTCGAATTCGACGATAACTTATTTAGTCGATTCATATCCAGAATTAAGTGCTTCGGCTATCGCACTAAGTGAATTTGTTCCTTGTATAATGGCTACTATTTATATTACTATTACCGTTCCATTGAAAGATGCCATAGGTGTTGGTTGGTTATTTACTATTTTATCCTCAATCAACTTATTAAGTACCGGCCTTATAGTTTTAGTATACTTTAAAGGAAAAGGTTGGAGGGAAAAACAGCAAATGAGAGCTTTACATGTATAATCTCATATTAATGTTTTAATAAATTTAGGAACTTTATATATATTTATTTTCATGAACGCGTTTCCTTAAACAAATTAATGATAATGCATATATATATAATTTCGTTTATATTTAATTTTTGTCTTTTTAAGTATTGATATATTCTAGATTCAAAACTTCATTTCTTATCTATAATTCTTTTTTTTCCTGGAACAAAATAAACTATAATTTCGGCAGGAATCAATTAATTATTAAATGTAAAATCCAATCCGCAAACTCGAGTCAAGAAAGACATCAAAACTTATTTTAACTAAAATTCCAAATCGCAAGTAATATTATATTCCGTGTTATTGTATTTATTCCTCGCATATGCTTTGATTTCCATTTCGGCAAAGCATAGTTCAAAATCAACTTGCTTAGGTTTTTCAAGGTGGGTATTAGGTAATTCAACAACAAACTCACCTAATTTCTTCACACTTTCTTCTTCACAATATTTTACATCATCATCTTTGGAAATTAATATTTGGAAACGCATTGTTGCTTGATCACTGCAATGTTTATTTTTATTTAATAAAAATAAAATAAAATCAAAATCAAAATTTAAGTGAATTAATATATATATATATATATTTTTTAGAGATACCTGTTCTCTGGCATGCATGATTCAGAAAATGTTTCATTGAGTCCCATAACCGTTCCCTTTTTTGCTAATATTTTAAAATATAAAACAAGCCCGCTTAATCTCATTTTATTTGCTGGATCTCTAGCTTCACATGTTCTAAGACCATTCATTCCATAATTGTATTTCAAAACTCTATTTTTAATGTGTCCTCTGTTAATCCCATATTTAACTGCTCCACGCATAACAGCTGCAATCGGTTGACGAGGTACCGAAATATGTTTAACCCCTTGAAATTCTTGTTTGATCCTTCTTTGTAGATATTTTGATTCACTAAACCCTCCAACCAAAAAGATTGTTGAACATGATTTATCACCATAAAGTTGTCCACGTATTAATCCAATAATTCTAGCAATAACTTTATCAAACATATTTTTAACATCTTCAAAATCAATTTCAATAATCCATTCCATATCCTTCATGGTATCCCTTTCTGGTCCAGTAATGTATTGTATCATTGCTGGACATATTTGCTAAAAAAAAAAAAAAAAAAAAAAAAAAATTAATAAATGATTTTGAAAAAAATTTAATTATACAAATAAATAAAATTATCACCTCTATATCCAATTCATAAGTTTCAAATTCTTCTATATTTCCAGTAAAAGGAAATTTCACATTTTTACAAAATTCATGCACCAAATATTGATATTGTCCATAAAGATTTTCTTTTAAGAGATCAATTGCGGAAGTTCCAACTTTGGTTTTAAGAAAATTTATAAATTCTTGGTCCACATAATTTCCTCCACAAAAATCTCCCGATCTTACCGTAACTTCTCCTAATTCAGATTTACTTAATAGTTTACGAGTTGTCAGATCAACGGTTCCGCCACCACAATCAACAATCAAGAAAGTTTCTAAGGTAACAACAACAACAATTTTTATTGCGAATACAATTTAAAGTTATGAAACAGAAACACTCACTCACTTTCAATAAATTCATCAAAATTTTCTGAAATGACTTCCATACAATATAAGGCAGCAGCCTCAGCTAAATAATATATACAAAAGGTTAAATCAATGTTCTTTGAAAAGCAAAAATAAAAAGTGATTCTTACGTTCAGTGGTAAATTGTAATCTAGAAGAATATCTTCTACTTATTAAATTGGCATTGTAGACACAATTTCTCATTATTCTCTTGGATTCTTCAGAAAATTCCGCGGGGACAGAAAGAACAAATAGCACTTGAGTCATAAAATCCAAGCCGGGCCATCGAGTTGTCACAGTTTCTTTAATTAGCTACATGGAAAATTTTTATTGAAGTAACATAACTATATAAAAAAGGTAGATTATATAAACATATATATACCTTTCCTTTAATATATATATATATTTTTTAAAAAAAAAAAAATTTTTAATTACGGTTGTAAAAAAAAAGCACAAAATAAAAAAAAGTTATTCAATTACCCATTGCCTCAAAGAAATCAGTGATAGCTTTCAAATAATCTAAATTAGGCGGAAGATAAGGTTTCTCTGATTGCGGCATATCACCCAAATGTAATTTAAATAATTCAACAGGTTTAGTAGATGAATTTTTTTCCTTTCGTTTTGGTTTTTTGGCTAATGCTGCGAATCCCCAAGATTCAACGTTTTGAAATTTATCATCATATTGTAGTACTGTATTCGTTTTTATTTGTCCTATATGTCTTGGCCAGACATCGTTTATTATAGTTTCAGGTTTTACTACATGCGCATATGCGAAACCCTATTTTAATAATTAAGATAAATCGATAAAGATGATAATTTGAATTATAAATAAGTCATGTATATCGGAATTATAAAATTGATTTACCGAGTATGTTGTACCGAAATCTTTTAAAACCAAAAACAAGAAATAAAAAAGGAAAAAAATAATCAGCTTCCACTTGTAATTCTAATTGAAAACAATCATAAATATATTGACCTATAGCGACAACAACGCGAATGTCTTGAGAAGGCATCGGTTCTGTTTCGAATGAGTTTTCTTTTTTCTTAGACAGAGTTTCTATTTATAAGAAAAATAGGCAGATCAGACATTACGTTTACACGTGAATTATTGAATTAATTACTAGGAAATTGGTTAGAAATGATCAAGATTAGAAAGGTTTATATGCGATTTTTCATACTAAACTTTTAATAATTACGAGTATTTGTATTTAGAAATCAAAGATATTTATTATTTACAAAAAAAAAAATATATAATAGATATAAAAATTGTCTTAAATTAATATACAAAAATAAATTTCAAGTTTTCGTTTTCCTTGTTTCTTTGTACCTATCAGTGTGTTGGCACCATTGGTAAACAATGGACTGCGTCTATTACAGTTTCCATTGTCCATTGTTATCCATTGATCCATAAATTCTCAATATAAAAGTGTGTAAGTTTTTTTTTCAAATGGCAAATGCAGGAGAAAAAATGCCGCATCCATTAACTCAATAGTTGAAATATTTAACAAGATTTGGAAGCATGACATAAAAGTGTTATATATTGTATCTGTTATAATAAATAAAATTCTAGATTTATATTAAAAAAATAACATTAAACTTAATTAAAATAAAGTAATTGTCGGGATGAACTTCGGAATCATGTGATCATTGATTGGTTCGATTATACGGTATTTAAATCTATTTATTTTACTGATTGTTATTTTTAGTTATTTTAATGATATTAAGTATCATCATCATTACATCATTGTCAATGATTTGATATTCTTTAATATAAATAAGTCCAGTTTTCGCACATTTGAGTAAATCATATCAAATTTTTTTTTGAAAATAATAGTGAGGAGCACAAAAAAATCCGAAAAATATATGACAAAGTTTTCTGAATCTTTTTATTTTTTCTTTAGGATTCATTGTTTTAAATAAAATATCAAAGAATTCCTGAAGTTTGGAATCATTACTCTTTAAAATTTTGATAAAATCCATTGCATCCAACTTTGGTCAAGAAAAGATAATGAAAAGAAAAAAAATCCTCAGACAAAACTGTCCAGACCACGAACTTATCAAGGATATCAGGTCAGGTCTTAATTAAAAATACAAGGGTTTTACGTCGATTTTGAAATGATCATACCAAAAAGATATCAAGGTTGTGGTTACCCGTAAAGACCAGCTCTGCCACTTCACTTTTGAACTGGTCAAATGGATCTTTGGTAAACACAATACAAAGATCATAATACTCAGTTCAGATATTAACATTAATGATACTGAATGTGATAAGTTTGCTGAGAACCTATTATCAATCATTACTATCTTTATAGCAAGACATAATGAGCTTAGATCAGCTGAGAATTGAAAATAAGAAAGAGAGATTAAAATACGAAAAATACGAATTTACTCAATGCCTAAAGAAAGAGAAAAGCTAAGAAAGTGGATGGAAACAGTAAGGTAAATGTATAATAAAGTTCTTAAAATAGTGTAAGATGACAGGATCATTGACATAAGCATCATATGAAAGTACTATCTAAATAATGAGTGCTTTGCAACTGAAAATAGATAAAAGTGATTCCTAAGAAGATACATTCATATGAAATCTGACAATTGATAAGTGCATATAAAACAAACAAAAAGTTGCATAAAAATAATTTTTGAATGAAGTACAAATCGAAAAAGAATCAAACACAAACTATTTTAATCCTTACTAGGGATTGGAATAGGATCAGAGAATAATACATATTCCTAAAGAGTATACCTCAAAATAACCACCAGAGATCAATAACATAGTTAACATAACTATGAATCACTTGTGATATTTTTACTTATGTGTTTCCATTCCTTTGAACATTATTATAACCAAAATGATATTTGTGAAAAGATAATCTCGCTAGATCCAGGTATTCACATATTTAGATCAGTTACAACTCTAATAGTCAATTAATTAAGTGGGGTAACAGTGATATTGACAAAGTATTCAAATTATTCATAAAATATGACAAATTACAGAGTGACAAGGATTTTGCTTTGGGAAAAACAAACAAGAGAAAGAGATTTCAATTGAAAAAAAATATGTTACAAATCATATAATGAATTCATAATTTGATAAATAAATGTATCACCAGCTGGCCCGATGATTATATCAGAATTACGAGATCATTTTGCTACCTAAATTTGAAACATTATATATAAAGCTCAAGAATAAAAGAAAGATCTGATTGAGAACAACCCACACAATGCTGATCTGGTTATATTTCAGATTTCAAATGTTTTTTTTGTACAAGATAAGAGAGTATAAGTATTGCAAGGTATATATTGAGAAGTACACTTCTAAGATATGTAGGCATTGTGAACAAATCAATAACAAACTGGGTGATTCTAAGATTTTTTGGTGTGATTCATGCAAAGTGAAGATGGATCAGAATGCAAATGGGATGAGAAACTTCTTACTCAAGTTGTTAACAGAGGGTCAGTTTTGGCCTGATTTTGGAACTTGAACCGATATGGGATATGATATGACTAACTTGTTTATTTATATTGGATTCAATTTCAAGGGATCCCCTATGAAATAATTATTATTATAATTATAAATTGACATATAATAATAAAAAACAATAGACACATTTTATATAGCATTTTTTGTCTAAAATTGTCCAATGTCCATTGTCCAAAGTTAACAACACTGTTATCTATTACAGGTTCATAGCGCATATTAATGATCGAAATTTCTGCTTGATTTTCATGTACAGTATCTAAATAATTTCTTTAACTTGCCACCCATGCAAAGATTATATAAGGTAATTGACATTGGGGTTTTTTAAAAAAAAGAAAGTCGTTAGTTAAATTGGATACCAATAATTCATTCCGTGTCATCAGATTGTTTTACACCCGACAGCAACAAATTATTCTTTCTTTTTGTAAATATTGAAACACGTTATTTGTTCGGACGAATGGATCGCAGATAATAAGAATCCAAACAAAAGTTAACTTCGCTAGTAAAAAGATTAATTTCATATTTTAATATTTTCATTTCATGAATTATTATTATACATGGACTTTTTTTTAATGATTGCAAAGGTTAAATTAAAAGATAAAAAAAAAAAATAATAATTATAATGGGATTTGATTTTGTTAAATGATTTACAGTGACAGTATGTTCACGAGACCATTTGATTTATAGGAATAAAAACGTTAATTTCAAATAAAGCATTACATTCAAATGAAAATTGTTATTTTTCAAAGTTCATTATTAAATAACCTTTTTTGCTCGATGGCTTTAATTTAAAGTGCTAATTTATTTATTTGTTTATTTTTTTTTTTATTTAATTCTTTGAGATACTCGCGTATTTCAAGGACGAACAATTAAATTTTTTTTTTTTTTGCCATCCATGCCATAATTTGATTATACTTCTTTTATGCTAAATACAATAAATATGGTCCTTTGAATAATAATGATGGCATCATTTTTATGGAATTCTGAAAATTTTTATAAAATTGGTAAGAGTATATATATATATATATTATATATACAGTACTTAACGATCAAGTTTTATGGTTAAAAAACATTCATATATTGTACAATTATAATATATTCAACTTATCAAAGAACACTTCAAATAATATTAATTGAACGGGTAATATTTTTTATAAATATAAATGGTTAATTAGCGTTTTGTTTTTTGTTTAAAAAACGTACTTTCGTTCTAAATTAAATGCTTTTGACAAATGGGGAGATTTTTTTTTTGTCTATTTTATGCTTAAGAATTTAGTTAACAAAGCTCTTTTAATTCTTTTAATGCAAAGTAGTCGAATCCACCGATATGAGGTCGAATAATTTGGAATTATAAAAAATAACTTAAATGACCGAATCTCTTTTTTAATTCAAAAAAAATTTATTAATGAACCTCCTTTTTGTGTCGTTAATCTTTCAAGCAGAGCCATGAAAATAATTCTTAATCATATCATGAAACCTTTTAAAAATAAAGAATTTTTGCTATGCTTCAACTGCTTCAACTGATAAAACACAGTTCCTTTTACCTAAAGCTTCTCGTTCGTAATGTGTTCGGATTATCGTACATCATGATTATAAACGTTTTACTATTAGATAAAACCAAACTCAGAAAAGGATTTTGATTTATTAATAATATTTTGAAAATGCTATAGTGTCATAAAGGATTTTCTAAGTCGATATTTTATCTCTTAAGGTTAAATATAATTATAATGGATATGAATTTTATTTTCAAAAGAAACAAAAAAAGAATGATTTAAACAGGAGGCCGAAAATAATATAATGAATGTTAATCTATATATGCATATATATATATTATATAAATATTTATTTAATTATCAAAACGAAAAGGAAAAAAAATAATTTATGCTAAAGCTCAAGTTCAAAATTGGCATTTGTCGATTGGCCTGATTGATTTCTCGCGTAAGCACGAATTTCCATTTGGCCAAACGTTAAAGTAAATGTTATTTTTCTGTGGAATCCAAGATGTGTATCCGGAAAATCTAATCTTAATTCCCCGACCTTTTTCATCCCAGGTTCATCGCAATATTTTGCTTCAATTGCTGTGGTCGCATATACCTCGATTGAAATCTCTGTTTGTTCTTTAAAGCTAGGGTGTAATTCTAATCCAAATTCTTGATCAACATCAACTTCGAGGCCTCTTGCCGCTAAGCGTCGGAAAATAAAAATTCTACCGTATGTTTGTTTCCTTTCAGGTGGATCACCATCTTTCCTACAAGTTTAAAATTTTTTTCAAAAAAAATGATCAAATTTTTTTTTCCCAGGAAATTAAAAAATATTTCGTACCATAGTGGTGCCAATTCGATACCATAAGTCAAGGGTAACGTTCTTGATTTAATCTTCTGCATATTAAGACCATACTCAAGCGCTATTGAAATTTTGGAATGAATTCTCATCAATAAACAGTAATTGCTACAAGTAAAAATCCAATCAAATGTTAACACATATATATTTTTTTTAATAATTACCTCCTCTAACGATGGCAGCCATTGGCTGAGGAGGCACGGAAATATTCCTAACTTCGTCCGAGAATTCTTCACGAATTCTTTTTTGTAAATACTTTGATTCACTAAAACCTCCCACCAAAAACATGGCAGAGATCGTACCACTTCGAGTCAATTGATCGCGTATTAACTTAAGAATCTTTTTGATTACAGGATCAAACATTTTCTTAACATCTTCAAAGTTTAGTTCTACGATCCATTCGTCCTCTTCCAATTTATCTAATCTTGACCCGGTAACATATTGTTTTATAACAGGACAAACTTCGTCCAAGTCCATATCAAAAGGTTTGTAATCCTCTCGATATCCTGTAAATAATAATTTCACTTTCTTACAGAATTCTTGAACCATATATTGCAGTTGTCCATAATGGTTTTCCTGAAGTAATTGCATTACAGAGGGTCCAACTTTATCTCCTATAAACACAAGGAATCCTTTATCAACATAAATTCCCCCGCAAAATCCACCCGTTCGAATTGTTTTTTCACCCAATCTATCACTAGACAATAACTGTCGTGTGGTTAAATCTACTGTGCCACCCCCGCAATCAACAATCAAGAAGTTTGCTGAATAAATAGAACAAAATTGTTTATAACTTATGTTGAGATTAAACAAGCATTTAAAAACAGATTTACCATAAGGGAAATAAGAAATATACTAACTTCCGACGATATTTAAAAGATGCTCTTTTAATACTTTCATACAATGCACGGCTTTTTTTTAAAAAAAAATAAATAAAATTAGATAGATTCTAAGAACGTAATGAACTGATGGATTTTGTTGATATTTACCGGCTGCCTCGGCTATGAATTGAATAAAATGATAATATTAAAAAACAAAATAAATAAAATAAATTTTATTTAAAAGAGACGCTAATTTTGAAAAAAAAGCTTACGTTCAGTAGAAAATTGTAACTTTTCGGAGTTTTTTGTTTTAATCAAATCAGCATTATAAATACACTCTCTCATTATTGCTTTTGCTTGATCGTTGAATTCTGCTGGAACCGTTAATATAATTAAAGCTTGTTCCATGAATTTTATGTTTGGCCATCGAGTATTTATTGTATCTTTAATCAACTTTTTATCGAATTAACGATATTGAAAACAATTAATTTATTTTTTGCTAAAGAAACATTTGTCAAAAAAAAAAAAATACTTACTTTTCCTGTAAATTTCAAATTGACAAGAAAAAGGTTATAGGATTAACGATTAATGATTTTTATTTTTATAAAAAGATTTTTTTTTTTTAAAAAAAAAAAAACTTACCCATCGATTTTATATAATCGGTGATCGCTTTTTTAAAAGTTAACCCTTTAGGTAACAGTGGTTTTTCATTTTCGGGCATGCTACCTAGATGCAATTTGAAATGTTCGACAGGTTTCGGAACGGGTTGATTCTTTGTTCTCCCTTTATTCCTTCTCGGTTTTTTTGCTAATGCGGGGTATCCCCATTCTTCGATATTTTTGAAATTTTTATCATATTGTAAGACTGTATTTGTTTTTAATTGACCGATTTGTTCCGGCCATGTATCATTTGTTATAACTTCCGGATTTATTTTATTAGAATAGGCAAATCCCTGAGATTTGCATGTAAAAGATAAAAGTAAGCGAAAACTCATTAGTTTGAAAACGCCATCCCTTTAACGGTTTGTGCAAAAATTCGATTAATAAAAGAAGATAAAAAATCCGACGATAACTTACAGAGTATGTGGTGCCAAAATCTAGAAATCGATTTGTTAGTTAATTCCTAAAAATTATTTTTTTTTTGGTAAAAAAAAAAAAAAAAGAAATCCGATTTTATAATTACTTACCAATCGAAATTACGACACGAATATCGTCTTTCCAACTCATTATTCGATTTATTTATTTATTTTTTTTGATAAAAGATAATCAAGTATGAAGTTCAGAAAAATAAATAAATAAAAAATTCAAAAAAAATAAAAATAAAATAAATTAAAAGAAAAGTATATTTTTATAAAAATTTTAGTATTTATATATTTGATTTACAAAACTGACAATTAATTGTATTCAAATCACTATCACATTTTAATTATTTAATATTTTGTATCCCCTTGACAAACAGTTATAAAAATAGATTGACATCACGTTACATCGATAGCGTTAGTTTATATTTAGAACAAAAAGGGAGGAAATGTAATTTACATTTAACTGGTTTAAAAGTAATAAATATTTTGATGCCAAATTGCTTATTATAATATTTCCAAAAGGCAAATGAAATAAATTATTTGCACCTTTCTTCGTTGGAAGACAAGAATTCAATCTCACTGGGTGACGTGGAAGGAGCAACAACATGATTACACAATAAAATTCGATTGCGGAAGTTGAATTCCGTCAGATCTTCAATACCATAATCATCACGTAACGTTTCGAATAGAGAAATCACATCAAGAAAAACTTCAATTGTCACGATTCAATTTCCCTAAATTGGTAATATTATAATGATTGTTTTTTGATCAAAACTCATGCTGTCTATCAATCAAATCAATCAATTACCAAATTTACACCAATAAAAAAAAAAAAAAACTCAAAAGATGGGATACGATATGACATTCGGATTTAACTCCGATCCGATATAAAATAGTTTTATTTATCAATTTTTTTTTCATGAAAAAAAAAATTTATTTTCTTTTTTTTTAAAAATTCTTTTATCCAACAATTAATTAAGATGCTTCCCGGGGATAACATCCCTTCTTTTGACAATAAGATAATTACTTTAGGAGAAATTAAAAAAGTTGTGCAGGATTATTTTCATAATCACTCAGAAATTGGATACTACAGATGGGATAATATTCAAGGGCTTTTGAATAAACTGGCTGAACACGCGAATAATGCTGAAGTACAAAATTCTGAGATTGATTCAAATAAACTTAGACAAGAAATGAAAGAAATCGAATCAAATAAAAGGATTGCTTTGGATCTAACAAACAAACCTCTTCCAAATCCGGTTCAAAGTCAAAAATCATCTGAGGAACCTGTGCAAGTTTCCAATCCAACTAATGAACTTAAGAATGATAAAGCAGAAAATAAAGATCCTATAAAATCTTTAGGAAAAGAAAAACAGAATGAAGATTATGCTAAAGAAATCAAATCTTTGAAGGATAAAAATGAAGATTATGTTAAAAAAATTAAAAATTTGAAGGATGAATACGTTAGAGAAATTAAATCTTTGAAGCAAGAAAATGATAAATATCTAAAAGATTATAACAAACTTATAACGGCGCATAATAATAATGTTGAACTATTTAATAAACGTCAAAAGGAAAGTGAAGTCGAAAGAATGAAATATGAAAAGAGTATAGCGACTTGGAGGGAAAATTATGATAATCTAGACGAGCAATTGAAAAGTAAAAGAAAGGAATATAATACGCTTTATCAAATGAACGAATCATTAAGAGAAGAAGCTTCCCAATATCAATCAGCTTTAGGAGATGCTAGGAATTATCGTTTGGGTGATAATGACGCTAATAATCCTACTCAACTTACAAAAGATATTGAAATCATACAAGATTCTATCAGTAATTTCTGTAAAATCAAGGGAGGAGTTGACATCAATGAACAACATCTAACGTCGCTTTTGGAAAAGTATAAATGTAAAATAGAAGAACCTGGAGATAAGGTTCTTCTTAAAGCTGCCTTACAGCGTTATATAATCGAAACTATTATAGATAAAACCGATGAATATTTAAAAAAGGAATTAACCCCCGATGAAAAGGACAAGCATATTGAATTAGAAGTTATCAATTCCACGAAAAATTATTTAACAACAATAAAACAATTAATAAATACACGAAAAGGTACGGACAAAGTAAGCGATGCGGCTCCAACAAAAATTAGCCAACTTGTCATGGCGGTGCTTGGGGATCGTGGATTTTGTTTAGACAATGATGGTAAAGAACATGAGTTCGTTCTGGAACTCAAAAAAGAAATTATTGGGATAATGAATAATCTTCGTACAATAAAAAAAGAAGATAAAAGAAAAGATAATGAAGAGATGGCAGCGGAAATCATTAGAAATGTCATCAAAATGTTTGTTTTCCGTATAAAAGTTTTAGAGCCACCAGGTGAAATCGAATGGATCGATAAAGACGCGAAACTTGATCCGACAATAATGGAAGTGGGAAATTTGGAAGATGATAATCATGAGGATTATACTGTAAATTTATGTAGTTTCCCTTTAATAGGTGTAAGCTTAAAATCAGAAAAAGATCGTAAAGTCCTCGTCCCTGCAAAAATTATTGCAATTAGACCACCTAAAGCTGAACAAAAAAACACAACAAAGATGAATAAGCTAATCAACTTCAACTTGTTTGGGAAATCAGAACCTAAGAAAAGGAATAATTCTACTGGTTCTAATAATTCGACGGAATATTAATATATTTAAAATACTACACCAGTAATCCTCTTTTTTTTCGTTTTGGAATCATTTATGTTTAATAGATTTTATCATGTTATTTAAATATATGTATATTGACTTGGATATTAATTAATAAACTTAATGGGAAGTTAAATTTTGCGTATTTTTAAACGAAATGTGATCTTGAATATTCGTGGCTTTATTATTGTTCATCTGAATTAATTTTCGTGGTTATCTTAAATAATGCATAACATAATACAAATTTTTTTTAAAAAGGTTTTCAAATTCCTCCTATTATGTTATGTTAAAATCATAACAATAAATCAAAACTAGTTTCGTAAATCTTTCCAGTTTGTAAATTTATTGCTTTAGCGACAAGTTCCATTTTCCCAAAAATTAATGAAAACTTTACTGTACGATTTAAACCAAAATGCGTATCTGGTAAATCTATCCGAAAGGTTCCAAGACATCTCATACCAGGTTCATCACAAAATTCGGCATCTAATTCTGTTGTAACATATATATTAAATTTTATGGAAGTTGCATCTGCATAAAGGGGATCAAAATTTTTAGAAAATTCTTGATCAACATCCACTTTAGTTCCTCGAGTAATTAAACGATAAAACACATAAGTATTATTCGAATCGAATTTCTGACTTGTTGGGTCTCCATATTTCCGAACTCTACAAGAACGAATTCCATACGTATGTTTTAAAGTACGATCTACAACCGTGCTCATTTTAAGCCCGTAATCACAAGCTCCACGAACAATAGCTGCAACAGGTTGTTTTGGTATAATAATAGCTGGGACCAATGTTTCGAATTCTTGTCTAACCCTCATTTGTAAGTATTTTGACTCGCTAAATCCTCCAACAATGAACATAGCAGAACATTTACTCTTACTAGAGTTAAGCTGCATATGAATTAATCTAATAATTTTTCCAACCACAGGATCAAACATAGATTTCAAATCCTCAAAATTTATATCAATAATCCATTCTTTATCTTCCATTTCTTCCTTGACATCAACTTTGCAATATTGTTTTAATACGGGACAAGCTTCTTCAATGTCAAATTCATAAGGATCAAATTCACTTGGATTTCCCGTGAAGTGAAATTTTAGCTTTTGACAAAAATGTTGTACCAAGAATTGCATTTGACCATAATTATTATCTCTAAGAAGATTTATAGTCGATTCTCCAAGTTTACGACCGAGGAATTTAAGAAATTCTCTATCGACATAGGACCCCCCACAAAAATCCCCTTTTCGTTCAGTGATTTCACTTAGCTGTTCCCGTTCTAAAAGTTTACGTGTCGTGAGGTCCACAGTCCCACCTCCACAATCAATTACCATAAATGATGCTATTCTCAAATAAAGAAAGTTGATGAGAATGTAAACTATGGATGATTTCTTAAAAATTAAATACAAACCATTAACTGGGATCAAATCATTCTTATGCTCTTTGATGTTTCGCATACAGTAAATTGCAGCAGCTTCAGCTAGTAAGGCACGAAAGTATACAACATAAATGAAATACATGATTTGATTTGGGAAATGTAACATTTTAACATAATTTATTTCAAAAACTTACGTTCAGTTGTAAATTCAACTTTATTTGATTTCTTACTATCCGTCAGACCGGCATCATAAAGGCATTTTCTCATAGTATCTTTTGCTCGATCATCGAACTCGGCCGGAATACTTATGACGAGAACAACGTTCTCAAAAAAGTTTAACCCATACCACCGTGAAGCAACTGTTTCTTTAATCGTCTATTTAACATAAAATTAAATCAATCCAAGATTCGAAAAACAAAATTAAAATGATTAAGATGAATAGTTTTTTACCTTGCCTACATCATGTTAAATCAAAAAGGATTTAATCAAAATTTGCAATCAACCATGTAATTTTCAAATTTATCGATTTACCTAATTCACGCAAGTAATCGCTTATTGCCTTTTCATGACTTAATTGATCAGGAAGCGGGGGTTTTTCATTTTGAGAAATATCTCCTAAATGAAGTTTAAAAAGTTCCACAGGTTTTGAACAATCTAAGTTCTTATTTCTACGAGATTGTCTTTGAGCCAAAGCGGGATATCCCCATTTAAGAACATTTTGATAATTTTCATCATATTGAAGAACCGTGTTAGTTTTCAATGGACCAATTTGTTGTGGCCAAATATCATTTGTAATAATTTCCGGATTCGCTCGGTTAGAATATGCGAATCCCTAATTGATTGTTTTCGCGGATTTGTAATTATAACACGATTAAATTCTATCAATGCGATTAGAGTAGTAACTTACGGAAAAGGTGGTTCCAAAATCTGATTATAAAGAGATTTTTTATTTTTGTTATATATGTAATTATCACATAATTTAAAAGTCGGAATGCTTTTACCTATAGCGACCACAACACGATTATCAGTCATGTTTATTAATATGCAGGTATTGTCCCACTTTGAAGGCTAAAGCCGCCTTCTTTTTATACACTTTTTGAGATAAGTAAAAAAGGGGTTCATTTGTGTTTTTACCGTGATAGGCATTATTATTCACGATGTGTGATGAATAATAATGTCGAATAACTATTTTGTACACAACATAAAAAAAAACTTTTTTATATTAAAAATTTATTTTTGTTAATGTAATACAAAATTCAAAGTGTATAAAAGGTAGTTTGATTTCATTTAATCAAATTATATACACTTCTTTTTTTTATTAATTTTTCTTTTTTTTCAAAAAAAAAAAAATGAATTACGACGATACTCGCCTAGTGGTTGGAATAGGTAAAATGTTTTATTTAGCTATACATCATGACGTATTTACGATAATGCATGTTATCTCTCATCAAATATTAACGACAAAATTATTATTCATTATAATCGATTTTATCGAAAAGATTTTGGAACAACTTATTCAGTAAGTAAGAAAGAAATAGTTATCTCTATTCGATTGACCCCTAATTCTTTTTTTTCTTTTAGGGATTTGCATATGCCAATAAAATAAATCCAGAAATCATAACGAACGACACATGGACGGACCAAATTGGTCAACTGAAAACTAATACGGTCCTTCAATATGATGAAAATTTTTATCAAGTTGAAGCATGGGGATGTCCAGCTTTAGCAAAACGTCAGAAAAGGAAGGACCGCAGCAATCCACCTAAGCCTATCGAATTATTTAAATTACATTTAGGTGATATACCCAAAGAAAATAAACCTGTTTTACCCCCTGGCTTAAGTTATAAAAGGGCCATTACTGATTACCTTCGCGAAATAGGTGAGTTAACTTGATAAATTTAAATGTACAAGATAATATATATATATATTTGACGATTCAAATTATAAATGACATCCATTATATCTTATGTATACGGTTTTACGCAATAGGAAAGGTGAGGATTTTGATTTTTCTCGATTGCTTTAGATGCATAATCCTGCTCTAGCTAATATGCATACAAATTATATATCCGATAGCTTATAAAAGATACCGTTACAACAAGATGGCCGAATATCAATTTTATGTCTCAAGTTAAAATTGTCGTAACGGTTCCTGCGGAATTTTCCGAAAAATCCAAGAGTATTATGAGGGAATGTATATTTAACGCAGGATTAATTAGCGACCTTCACACCGTTCGCTTACAATTCACAACTGAACGTAAGAAAGTAATGCTCAATTCAATGGGAATGATCTTTAACTTTTTCCATTTATACTAAACTTTTTTCCCCTTATGATTTAGCCGAAGCTGCTGCGATTTATTGTATGAGAACTTTAGCAGAACATTTTGACAATCCTATAGGAAGTATGTATTCTGTTGAAGATTCATTTATTATCTTTGTTGTGAAAATCTAACGCTTGCTTTTTGACTTGATAGCATCATTCTTGATTGTGGATTGTGGCGGTGGTACAGTGGATTTAACGAGACGTAAAGTGGTTAGCGAAAATAAATTAGGAGAAATTACTGAAAGGACGGGAGATTTTTGTGGTAGTGCGTACGTGGATCAAGAATTTATAAAATTCCTTGAAACCAAAGTAGGAGAAAGTGCAATAGAATTATTAAGAAAGAATAATTACAATCAATTTCAATATATGATACAAGAATTTTGTAAGCATGTTAAATTATTATTTAGTGGAGAAAAAACAAGTTACAAACCTTATGAATTTGATTTAGAAGAAGTATGTCCGGTCCTAAAACAATATGTTACGGGAACATTTAGAGATAATTTAGAAGAGGAAGATTGGATGTTCGAGTTAACCTTTAAGAATGTTAAAGATATGTTTGATCCGGTTCTAAGCAAAATTATTTCTTTGATAAAAGATCAACTTGGTTCTAGTAAAGATAAATGTACCGCCATGTTTTTAGTCGGCGGTTTCAGTGAATCAAAATATTTACAATTTAAAGTTAAACAGGAATTTAAAAGTCAAGTATCAATCATTTCTGTACCAAGACAACCGATTGCTGCTATTGTGCGTGGTGCCGTTGATTATGGTCTCAACGCTAAAGTTATCAAATCACGTGTATTGAAGTATACTTATGGCACAAAAACTTCTCCTCTTTGGACTTCTGCTGACCCAAAAAGTCGTAAAAGACCTGATGGAAGAATTTTTAAATTCTTTACTTTAGCAGAAAAAGGAAAACGTGTTGATGTTGATGAAGAAGTTTCTCATAGCTTTAGCGTTGCACGGCCAGGTGCGTAAATTTTTTTTTATTTTATTTATTCCTATATTAATTTCTAATCGTTTTCTCATTGACAGAACAAACAAGCATGGATATGGACATATACGTGACGAGGAACGGTTCTGCAAAATTTTGCGACGAAGATGACGTAGTATTACTTGGTAATTTCAGTGTAGCGATGCCAGGTAAATTTAATCTTTTTTTTTTTTTTTTTAAACAAAAAAAAAATTTTAATGTATTTATGATTTTAATAAAATTTATTTATTTATTTTTAGATACAGAACTCGGTTTAAAGAGATCAGTCTTGTATACGCTTCGATTCGGTGAAATGGAAATTAGAGCTACGGCAAAGAACAAACAAAGTGGCAAAGAATATCATACTTCTTTCAAACTGGAATTTGATTAAATTCTTCTATTTTTTTTTTTTCATATTTCATAATTTATCATACATTAGCGTTAGATATTAATTTAGTAATAATTCTAATAAAGATTTATTTATTTTCATTTTTCAAATCTGATTCTCGTTTTTAAAGGATACGATGGTTGTATTTTAATAGAAATTTTAATGACAAACGCGTAAAAACTAATAAACATTCTTGGATTTTAAACGCGAAAAAAAAAATCTGATTATTTTCAAGTTAAAATTGGCAAACTTTTATTGAATGGAAAACCACGAATAAAGAGAAAGAAATACACATACAACGAATATAAAGTTCGCAAAGATCCCTAGCCGAAACGAAATGGAAAATATAATAGTACTTGTTCGCTACTAGCAAAATGCTAAGTACCCAGGTTGCACGACGGGGACGTCAGTACTAATCGCAACCCAAAAAATGGAGCTCTCATCTACCAAGCAAAGT